AAGGCTTGCTGCAGTAGCGGGGACTGCACAGTTGGGGAGGTCTGCTGTGAGGGACAATGCAATAGCGGTGAATGCTGCCCTGGGAGCCCGAATTGGTGCAACGGAAAGACATGCGTTGCAGGCACCCAATGCTGCAATGGAGTGTGCAAGACTTGCTGCGATGACGTGCACTGTGGCTCTGGCATGGTCTGCTGTGATGGACAATGTGAAAGTGGTGAATGCTGCCCTGGGAGCCCGAATTGCTGCAACGGAAAGACATGCGCTGCGGGCACCAAATGCTGCAATGGACTGTGCAAGGCTTGCTGCGGTAACACGGACTGCGGAACAACGGAGGTCTGCTGTGATGGACAATGCCAAAGTGGTGAATGCTGCCCTGGGAGCCCGAATTGCTGCGATGGAAAGACATGCGTTGCGGGCACCCTATGCTGCAATGGAGTGTGCAAAGCTGGATGCAATAGTGGGGACTGTGCAGTTGGGGAGGTCTGCTGTGAAGGACAATGCAAAAGTGGTGATTGCTGCCCTGGGAGCCCGGATTGCTGCAATGGGAAGACATGTCCCGGTGGCACCCAATGCTGCAATGGAGAGTGCAAGGCTTGCTGTAGTGACATTCAATGCGAGCCCGGGATGGTGTGCTGCCTAGAACGGTGCATACGAGGAGCATGCTGCTTTGGGGACCCTAACTGCTGCAACGGAGTGCCATGTCCCGCTGGCACCCGATGCTGCCAAGGATTTTGCAAGCCTTGCTGCAGTACATTGGACTGCGGGCCTGGTGAGGTCTTCTGTGGCAGTGTCTGCGTAACTGGCAACTGCTGCCCTGGGGCCCCGAATTGCTCCAACGGACAGGAATGTTCCGCTGGCACCAAATGCTGCGATGGAGTGTGCAAGTTTTGCTGCAGAGACAGTGACTGCGAGGCTGGGACGGTCTGCACTGATGGAAAATGCACTAGTATCCCCTGATCTGTGACCCCATATTGCTGGAATGGACAGACATGTCCAGCTGGCACGTGATGGTGTAATGGATGTGTGCAAGGCTTGCTGTAGTAACGATGATCTCAAGGGTGGGACGGACAATGCAACAGTGGCGGATGCGGCGCTGGGACCCCTGAACGCTGCAACAAACAGACATGTCCAACTGGCACCCAATGCTGCAGAGGAGTGTGCAAGGCTTAGCGGTTAACAGCGACCCCCACTTTCCAACCCCAGGTTAACCGCCCCAGCACTGAAAAGTGCAATAATTGTATTAATTGGGGTTTCCCGGCCGGGGCGGGCCAGGCCGGCTTACATCCTTTTTTTATCCTTTTTTTTTTGTTTAAGGAAGGGCTCACGTTCTTATTCTTCATTCTGAGGTAACCGTTATATATTCTTCTCCAACAACCAGCCGTCCAACACTAGCTTGCTATCCACTCCAACCACAAACTGCTTGCAGATGCTCCAAGTGCTTGTGAACTAATTCAATCCCGACTATCTTTTGTCTGCTATCCTTGCTTGGGTGACCTTTTTTTTTCTTTTTTTTTTGCTTCGCCAGTTACCCCCAAGGATCGTTTGTCTTGATGTGGGCTTTGGCTTTGCCTTGGATTGCTTTGTCAGACAAGAATGACGTGAGTACGCACTCGTTTCTTGCCCCCCAAATAACCTGTACGACGCTGGGATGTACATCCTGTGCCACGTAGCCCCAGTCAGTGCCGTCATCCTGAACGTGAACGGCACCGGTCACTTGAACGTGACTGGCCGTTCACAGTGAACGGGCAGACAACGAAAGAGTGTTTTTTTTTTTTTTGGGGGGGGGGGGTGGGGGGGGGGGGTGGCTCACCCAGCTACAGTCGCCTCATGCCCCACAAAGTGATGACATTGAAAAAACAAAAAAAAATCGAAATAACCTACAAAATAACAAACGAAAATGCTTATTTTGGCTGGCTGCATTTTTTTTTTCGTTTTTAATTAAAAAAGAACTATTGGTGATTTTTTTTTTTTTTTTAATTATGGGGGGTTACCCTCCGATGACCCCCACCTTCCTATAATAAAAAAAAACACCCCCCCCCAACTTAAGAAAAAAAAAAAACGATCCCACTCTCCGTGAACTCCATGAACTCCCACGCCGTGAACTCCGTGAACTCCATAACCGGTCTCCGTCCACAGAGCCCGTGACGGTGAGCGGGGGTACGGCACTGGCCCCAGTCAATATCCTTGGCTATACCTTCCAGGAGGTCACCTAGCGAGATCCATCTGTGATGATGTCATCCTATTGGGACTCGGGGACAGAGTTCCGGTCCCAGTGCTTCACCTACCAGCTCCAAGTAAGCCGTGAGAGTGGACAATAAAGCGATAAATGAGTTGTAGACCCCTTGGAAAGCGCTGGCACTGCAACAAATAACCAGGCTGGCCCCGGTGGCCCCCCTAGACACAGACCCGACGATTTGGCTAGAAGACCGATATTGGCCTGTTCCTAGACCATCACTAGAGAGAGAGGATGAACCCAATATGGACAGGCAAGCAGCCAGGAGGGATCTAAAAAACGATGCCTTATGGACTTCACTTATAAAGGTATGGAGGAAACTTCCCCCCCCGGATAAAACACCACCACGGCGTTGGGAGGAAGTATATAGACAACCCCTCTTTGACAATCGGTTGATAACAGACTCTAACAGTAGGGTACTACAGTGCACAGACTCCCCCTGGAAAGGATGGACCAAAAATGGTATCTTAAGAGTAGGACATATCTGGGATCAAGAGCGGGGAGACTGGATGTCCGAACCTAAGTTGAGAGAAAAATAGAGATACTGTCACAAGGTAGGGGAGGCATTGGAGACAATCGTCTTTGCAGTCCCCCTCGATTGGGTTCGCATCCTCAAAAAGGGACCGACACTGGAAGAGAGTGACTGGGTGGGCATAAAAGACCAGGAGGGAGTAGTTGGAAATATAGTGGACACACACCTATCATGAGAAGGAGGGGAGGAAGTACTGGTTAAACTTTTCCACAGAGCCTTAGATGATAGGCTTAAAAGAATGATAGGAGACAAGGTACTATGGAATAAAAGAGCAGAGCTGTTCCGAATCCAGGTCTTAAAAGAAAGAGATGGATGATTGGCATACAAACCGACCACACCGATCTCACATTTTGGTTTTGATCCGGAAAACTCGAACTGGACACTAGCCATGGGTAAAGGAAAACAAGGGCAGCGCCAACTGCACACCCAGCCAGTCAAATCAGCCCATTGGCTGCTGCGCCCCAAAAGGGTCAGGCCCAAAATTTCGACATAGTCGGATGCTGGTAAGACAAAGTTGCACTCCGTGAGCGGTGTGGCCAGGCCCAAGATTTCGAGAGAAGCGGTGTGGCGAGGCCGAAGTTCCTTGTCGCCTGCCCGCAGCCTTTTTCATACAAAAAATTTTGGCCGCAGGGTTGGGTGTTCCGTGCGGAGACTGCATGGTCCAGCCGGCGGAAAAGGGCATGACGCGGACCATGGGAAAAAAAAGGGGACACCTCCGCATTCAAAATTCGAATTTTGAATGACTGCTGACAACGACATTCGGTTGGTGGTGCGAACACGGGTGCAGTGATGACTCGGGCTTGGTGGCGTCGTCCCTTCTACCCACCTCCCGTTGTGAGTGCATGCGGTCGCCGGGTGAGTCCATCGCCATGGACCCTCTTCCACGTTGTATTTGCTGTCATATGCATTTTCCCTGGGAGGAGGAAATCCGAAGAAAGGTCGCAGCTTCATCGGACATCTTTAGGCTTTAGCTTGTTGCTTGGCTGGGGAGGGAGGACAGGCACGACAGTGGGGAGACGTCGCCTGTGAGGAGCTTGGGGCTATGGAGGGTGGCGGAGAGGGTGGACGTGCGGTGTTGACACCTCTTGAGTGGGCTGCAGTGGCGATGGCCGTGTCGATCATTGTTCTTCGCTGTCAGCACGAGAGAGCATTCGGACGAATGAAGGAGCAGTTGCGCGCGCGTAGAAGAAGGACATTGGCGCAAGCTCCGGATGATGGCCCCGACTTCAGGGTGACCTCGAAGGCAGTCATTCCACTGTTGGGTTGCTGAGTCATTCCGCGAGCGACACGGAGGTGGTGGATGAAATGCAGGACAAGAGGCACATGTGAAGACCTTAGGCAATGCGACGATGCGACAAACAACTATTTCTGAAAGAAGCTACGCATGTCATCACACGTGGTCGGGAAAATCGCAGAGGCATGTGCGCCTGACGTTCTACAGGGAGCCGTTGCAGCCCGAGTAGATTATGGCGTATGCACTGTACAGGGGCATTGGGGGAAACATACGAGAACAACACGTGCAACTTCGAAAATTTTTGGCCTCGTTGTTGTCTGTGACGTCACTGCCGTATTAGCTGGCCGACTGGAGTTCGCAAACTCGTCGTTCTGTGGGCTTTCGTTGATAAAGGGTTAAACTTCCTCAATTGGACCCACGGTTGTATTGACTGCACTCACATCTGCGTGGACAAAATGCCCCAAGCGAAAACTACTATGGTAGGAAGCCCCGGTTCTCCATCATCGCACAGGTCTGTGTTACCGCACGTTAATGGAACCCGCGTTTAGCGTTCAGGTTTTTAACGAGGTGAACGCGCGTTCATTGAACACAGGTAAATGCATTTGACGCGTTTGCGCTGGTGGGTTTTGGCGCAGGGGGGTTGGCCGGGGGCCTCATGTGTGTGCGTGTGTGTGTGTGTGTGTGTGTGTGTGTGTGTGTGTGTGTGTGTGTGTGTGTGTGTGTGTGTGTGTGTGTGTGTTTTGAGTGTGTGCATCATACACACACCAAGGCAAGATACCCTATGCCTCGCCAATTCTCCGATATTTACATCGCCACATCCTTTTGCTTGGGAATCATCGCAAGTACGACATCGACTTTTAACGTGGAAAAATGGCATCTAGTAATCTACTCATGGTTCAGTGGATTCCCCGAATCATAGGTCAGGTTGTTGTTGCAAGCCGTGGCCGCGATAGGCAAGCAAGTGCTCCCGAGTAAGCTCCTGAGTAAGCTCTATGCACACTGCACACTGCACACACACATACACACACACACCCACACACACACACACACACACACACACACACACATACATACACACACACACACACAGAAAGAGAGAGAGAGAGAGAGAGAGAGAGAGAGAGAGAGAGA